AGTTGATCGATTGGAATCATCCCTTCAGATGAGACAGGGATAGCCTTAGTGGATGCTGCTTGTCTTAGGGGAGAGTTACTCTCTAGAACTTCTGGGAGCTTGCCGGGTGCATGGATGGATTCTTCTTCCATCAAGATTCCCACCCTGTCTGTTAACTTGTCAATTCTAGCCTCTTGATTTTGCATGCATTTGGTCAAGCCAGCGATCGCTTCCGTCAAGTTTGCCAATTGCTCCTCCACAGATGAAGTGTTTGTCACCATGGCTTGCATGATTGTTGTGGACGATGGAGAGTAGCATGGATTTTCACACAGATTGATCCTTGATCGGCTCACTCTATGTGGTGTAAGTTGGGAGGATCCATCACTTGAAGCATCATCATCTTCCTTCACAGCAGGGTGCTTGGATCCGGAGAGGTCAAGCAGAGCAAGAGTTTTCTTGATCTTTTCAGCAACATCGCTTCCTCCTTCAGATGCGTTCGTGGAAGATCTTGCTCCTTTTGAGGATGAAGATCTGAAAACAGGGGTTGATGCGGACGACACTTGGGGTGCTTGTTGTCCTAAAGAGCTTGCTTTGCTCCTCGTAACTGGTCCGAAGCTTCCAAAGGTGACATCGAGGATGCTTTCCACATCAGCATAGAACCTAGAGTTAGCAGCCTTGGTGGAAGTTGAACCGGAGTTGATTTTCTTTGAAGCCATTTTAATGTTCTTGGCCTTTGGTGATTGAAAAGTTGAGATGAGAGGTAGAGATTGTCCCACTGGGCGTGCCAAAATTTATAGACAATAAATTTGCGTCAAGAAAATAAAATCAAGAACGAAAAATATCGCAACAATCGTAGTATTTTATTTCGAAATATTTGAGTGTACAATCTCTATGAAACCTCTGATTCTTCTTTCCAATTGTAATTAAATTCAAGGGCCTTTGAGCTTGATCTCGAATCTATGTTTGTTGCCACGAACGATGTTCTTGAGCTTGATTGCTTGGACTTGAACTTGATTTGATCTTCGTTCTTGAGCTTGAAATTGATTTGTTCTTCGTTCTTGAGCTTGAACTTGATTGCTTGAACTTGAACTTGATTGCTTGAAGCTTGAACTTGTGGAGGAATTTGCAGCGTTTGATCCACAAGCTCTTTCTTGCTTCTTGTTATAACTTCTGATCTCTTTTCTGAGTTATGAAGACCTCTATTTATAGTTGTGGGTGGGAAGAGTTGTGATGAGAACAAACTCTTTCCGACCAATCAGATTGAAGTGTGACATGACCGCATTTGATTGGCCAGAACATGTCACTTGCACACGTGGCGCGATTTTATTAGCTTTTTAATGTGACTTGGCATGCCTTGTCATTTTGACACGTGGCATGATCCCATTGGCTCTTTTGTTTGACTTGGTGTGCCACATCATTTGACACGTGGCACCAAACTGGGCCTCTAGGAAAATGGCATCTTGGGCTTAATGAAGTGGGCTCATCACTTTAGCCCTATTAAATGGGCTAGCCCAATGGATTAAGACTTATTTATTAATCCATTTATATTGGACTTATATGACTAATCCAATTATATTAGCCCAATAAATTTATTTGAACTAATATACCTTGAATTTAAAATATAGTCCAAATTATTTTACGGATTTAATTCCAATAAAATTTATATGCCTACATATTTTTAAATGAAACTCACTTATAGGATGATGACATGTTGTAGACCGTATGGTTATGTGTTTTTGGTATGTTACATATATTTTTGTATGAAAAGTACTTTATTTTCCTTAAATTGTACTGCCTTCGTCCCATTCTATGTGAGAATATTATTATTGAAGAGTCAAATAATTTTTTTTTATATTCTTATCTAAGTTAACTTGTAGTACTTTTTATGTAGTTTGCAAATATACAAATTTTATTTTAAAAAATGTAAAACATTTATACTCCTATTTACAAAGAAATTCAAGTGTATCCATTTTTCATCCGATGATCTTCCCCCTAGGACTGACTCTGTTCGACCAGCCTTGATTTCCTAACTAATGCTACCTGAGCTAAGGGATTGTTTACTAAACGTCCTTTACTTTACCTATCATTCGGTGAAATGTCCGGCTTTTACTTCTCAAATCGGCAAGTACTCCTTCCAAACGGTGACGAGGTTGTACGAGTTAAAAGTCTACTCACAAGGTTCCAAGACGGAGCTTAACCTGAGTATCGGTTAAGAACGACAATGATATACGTTTCACACGGCACACGATTCCATGGATAGTTTTATTCGAGATCGTGATGGAGGACATAACTTTGTTTGAGTTGCTCCCATGCACACAGACTGAAGATCTCATTTGTCCTGGACAAGTACGTAGAGATCTTCCTTCTTATCTTACGTGGTTGACGGTGACACCTCCTAAACTTCTTGTGCTTGGATCCACAGGTTCTCTGCCGATACCGAAGAGGGTAACTAACCTCTTGACTAAGGGCTTGTTTTGTTTACAGAGTGAAAAAGGACATCCGTGATAATTTCTTCGGATTTGCATGAACTAACGAAACCCTATAAAAGAATGGGAGCTATTGAAAGATTCCATATTACCGAGACGAAGGACAACACTTCTGCATTAGCGCTTAATCAATCTGTTGCTTGTTCCTTTCGTGAGCGGGCGACGGTAGAAGGAGGTAAGAGCCGGGTTAGGCGCTCCAGTAGCTCTAGGAGTTCCTGTTCTCGCTTTTCTTGATCTTTCAAGCTTGAAGCTCACCTGCTTTGAGAGAGGAGAGACAACCATTTGATGCATGACAATGGAGAAAAGTACTATATGCTTTCCCTGTCGACTGAAACAATGCGAAAAATCCAGACCTGTAAAAGGAGAAGGGCCAGTGGGGGGCATTTGGGAAAGGGCGACCGCAGGGTCACTAAATGAAGTCCTCCGTTTCTTTCGAAGGTGCTGACCCGCAGTGAGGCAGAGATGATTAAGTGACATCCGGAGAAAATAGAAAAAGAAAGAGATGAAAAATATTAGGAATAAAAAATCACACTCCTTTTTCTTTTTGTTGAACAATCTTTGAACCTTGTTTGAGCTCCTCTTCACTGTGATCGAATAACTCCATCCCTGGTTGCATACAGTTAACAGTTACGCTCTAACAATCAATTACTTCTATATTCCGTTCTAGGAATAAGGTCAATTTATTTTTCGGTATGTAAAGTTTTCTTTCGTTGTTACGACAGGCTGAGAGCAGTGTCCGTTCCCTTGTATTTGGGAAAGTTGGACGACCGTTCCGCTCTTCGGGAAGGTGGGAATGACATCATGTCCGCATGGCCCTTATGGGCTGGGCCACACACGTGCTACAATGGCAATTACAATGGGAAGCAAGGCTGCAAGGCGGAGCGAATCCAGAAAGATTACCTCAGTTCGGCTTTCCTTCTATTTTTCTTTCTATTTCAAAGCATGTGCTTTAGTTCAGATCACTGTTTACTTTGCAGCCCATACCATAGGGTAGCCCTACAGAGCCAAAATGAAAGGCCTTCGTGATAGGCTAGCATAGCAGACAATAACAAGAAATTCAGGAAAGGGAAGGGAAATGAATGTCAAATCTGAAACAAATTGAAAAGCTAGTTCTCGGGCTTTCAATGACAGCAAATTGACTTGGAGCAAGGTCCACGGCTTTAGCCTTAAGCTAGGTTGGGCTGTAGTTCTTGTGTTGCGCGAAACCAATCGTTAAATAGCGCAGTTTAATGGTGTGCAGGGAGTAGTCGTCTTGTTGCTGGTAAGTGCGACTATGTGAGTTGACAACAATACATCGCCGTACTGGTCACCGTCATTCTACGGGCCGCCACATAAATTGGGACAATATACCTAATTAATTAAGCATCTTCTTATATAATAACAAGAAAGAAAAAAAAAAGGAATGTAACAAAAAGTGTACAGATCAAGAATCTAACAAATGTTTTCAGATTCCCCACTGCTGACGATAAGACAAAGCATGCTTACCCTATCATTAGTTTTTAATTTAAAAAAATGTTGTTTTCAGATTGTCTTAATACCCAAAATGGCATCCAACAAATTGTTAATCATATTTAATAAACACGTGATGATTACAGTGCACCTTTAACCTTAATTAAGTAGCCAAATACAACACCCGGTTCTTTCTTATTGGACCCTAGATTAAAATTAGCCAGCCACTTAATTTATTATATTAAGATCTTAATTTCCAAAAAGAATAGTAAGAGAAGCTCTTTCTAGAGGCTTTAATTTTTTTAAAGTTGTAGTTGTCTAGATAGGTGAACCCTAGTTATATACTACGTGGCCTTTATCTATGAAATTTACTTTTCCACTTTTGGAATATAGGCTCACTTTTTTTAAAATTAAATATAGGCTCACTTGGTCATTTTAGTTCCTAAAAGTACCCTTGTGCTTGTAGAATCTTCTGGTATTGACTTTAAATTTGCCATTCTTTTGACGATATATTTTTTCTTGTATTTTTATCCTCATTTATTTTTTAATTACAGCATAACATACTTTTAATTGAAAATCGATTCTGGTATTCATCAATATTTGGTTTCAAATTATTCTTCCAATCTTCATTTCTAAATTAACTCTAAGTAATCAGCTGTCAAAATCCCTTAGACGATGATCGATATCATTTCTCTAAAGTTGAGTCTTTTCTACTTCTATTTTAATTATTTTAAGAAAAAATAAATAAGCTCGTCATTAAAAATAAGATTATGGATAATGTGGTGATCGGTCCATGTAATCGGACTTCCTATATTGTTTCTTCGAATAAATTCTTAACCCTTTATTTTGATTTTCACGAAAGTTAGTAATGGATGAAAAACATTCACACAATTATTTAATTTTAGGAAACAACGTATATAAAATACATGAGGGTCATTTCGGGTATTTCATTAGTCAATTGGTCACGTTTAAATACGTAGTAATATGAACGGACGTAAAAGTTTTGACTGATGGAATGAAGTGAGATGGGGAGGGCATGGGGTGCAAATATAAATAAGCAACAAAGACTTTTAAGATAGTGAGATTATATTATATTCTACTTAAAGCTCTTTAATTAGGTTTTAAAAACAAATTTAAGCCTTTGGTGGGGAGTGATGAGTGAAGAAATATGCAGTTGGGGAATGACAAAAGAAGGATGGAGAAAGGGACCTTGGACTGCTGAAGAAGACAGATTGCTCATTGAATATGTCAAGTTGCATGGTGAAGGCAGATGGAGTTCTGTTGCTACTGTTGCAGGTAAAACAATAAATACTACACACAATATTATGTTATTTTGCCGTCAAAGAGGAAGCTTTTCCTATTAGGATTCGAACTCGAGATCTTTGATTAAGAGCAAAGGAATCCTACGTAATATTATGTTAAAAGTATTATTTTCAACTATTTTTTCATCACTTCGATCAACAAAAACTACTACATATACTTTTCATCAAGAAGGGTCTTTTTTCAACAACAACAAAAAATCCAGTATAATTCCATAAGTGAGGTGTGGGATGCGTAGTGTGTACGCAGACCTTATCCCTACCTCGAGGGTAGAGAAGCTGTTTCTGATAGCTCCCGGCTCAAGGATAAATGAAAAGAAAGCAGTAGCAACAAACAGAAATAACTGAAAAATATTTAAAAAAAACAACTATAATGAATAACATAGAGTAATAGAGACAAGAAGGGTTTTTTTATGTTTCAAATTTTAAGTTCAAGTGTTACGCTGATAATAATATTTATTGCACCTAGACGGGTTTAAATGGAGCAGCATGTTAGTGCGAATTTGTATTGTTGATCCTAACTTACTTGGAATTGAGATATAATTATTTTAGGCTAATATTTATATTTGGGTATTTGGTACTTGCAGGGTTGAAACGAAATGCAAAAAGTTGTAGGTTGAGATGGGTGAATTACTTAAGGCCAGACCTTAAAAAGGGACAAATTACTTCTCATGAAGAAAAACTCATTCTAGAGCTCCATGCTAGATGGGGGAACAGGTGATTTTTCTTAAAGTTATTTGGATATATTCTTGAAAGTTATTTTTTATTTTTTATTATGTTTCTTAACCATAATCTTCAGTGATAACTTGATAAAAAATAAATACAGATGGGCAACTATTGCTAAAAGTTTGCCAGGAAGAACTGATAACGAGATCAAGAACTATTGGAGGACTCACTTCAAAAAAAAAACCAAAAACTCTAGGAACAGATCTGAAAAATCAAAGGCGCCTCTTCTGAAAAGACAACAATTCCAACAACAACAACAACAAAAACCGAAAACCGAAAGTGACACGAAAAGGGTAGTGTCATACAACAGCAAGAAGAAGAACTATTACGCCTCAATCTTAAACAAGTTAGGAAACAGGATCGTGTCATTACTTAATGAAAATGTGAATAAAGTAAGTACTTTGCCTCAAGGGAACCAAGAAATGGAAATTTTGTACCCAAACAGAGCTGATCAAGAGCAAGATGATGACTTCTTTTATTCCATTCTTAATGACTACACTCCTGTGCCTGTGCTAGAATCCTCATCCAATGAAGTCATCATTTGGGATGGCTTGTGGAATTTGGACAATTTTCAGTGCAATTTCAGTGCTACAAATTATGACAAAAGTTTGGCTATTCCTTTTCATTGATTTCTCAGTAAGTGTTTGTATAATATTTGGTTGAAGTTAAAAAAAGAATATCTGAAGTTGAAATTGTCCGGAGAAGAGTTTTTGGCAGTTGTGTTTGGATATGAATATAATTTTGGGTTGTTTTTGAATTTTTGTGAGTGATTTAAGTGAAAATTTTAAAAAATAACTTTTTGGAGTTTTTCAAATTTTCGAAAATTTTCAAAAATTCATCTTCAAGTGAAAATTGGAAATTTTATGGCCAAACACTGATTTCGGAGAAATATAAAATAAAAAAATCGAAAAAAATGTGAAAAGAATTCTTATGTCCAAAGGGGCTCTTAAATAACCGAAATGGGTTGTTAAATATGTATTAAAATTTCCCTCCATTTAAGCAATTCTTTACTCCATTTAAGCAATTCTTTACTGCTTTCTTGCAGTGGGAACGAAAGGTCATCAACCAAGAGAGAAATTAAATTTTGGGTTATGGAAACTTTATGATATAACACCAATGATGTTCGGTGACGGTTCCCGTGGGTACTTAATTGTGTACGCAATTATTATTGTAGTATTAATTTGAGATCGTTGAACTCATAAATTTCAAAAGTAAAATGGCCTCTGTACCACCTAAACTTTTACTTGTTTGTCAATCCGGTAACGAACTTAGAACTTTCTCATTTAAACACCTCAACTCAATAAAATAAATATGAATAAGCACATTTGACCGTTGACTATGCTTATATGGTATTGGCATTGTGATGTTTAGCTTAAAGTATATATATTTGTGTGTATATCGCCTCATATTTTACTTTTGTTTCGTGAATTTAGGATGTGAAATGTGTTGATTTATATTAATTTAAAATATTTTTATGTGTAGGAATGATCCGGGAGCAATCGGGGGCGAAATGTGCGAAATTTGAGCCAAAACGGACAAAAACAGGAAAATTGGAATTTGCATCCAAATTGGCAGCGCCATGGAAGGCGCCTGGTGCTGAGCAGGGCGCCAGTGGCGTGAGTTTTCTCCAAATTCGCCCAGACACGGTTATTTCGGCCCTAGACCTACCCAACACGTATAAAAGCAAGACTAAACTTATTTGTGAAGAGGTGGACGCCACTTTTGAGGAAAAATACACACGAGAAACATTCAGAAGCGGAGAGATCTCGGTTTTCTTCATCTTCTAGTATTTTCAATTATTCAACACTTATGAAATTGTTTGCTATTATCATGAGTGGCTAAAAACCCATTGTTCTGGGGTTGTGATTTTAGTGGGTATATGTGGGTTTGACACTTGAGTTATCATTTTATTACTTTCACGTATACTTGCATGTGCGTTTGTAAGCAACAAGTTTTTGGCGCTGTTGCCGGGGACTTGAATATTAACTACTTTCTAGTTTTTGCTTTAATTGTTTATTTCGTCAAGTCTAACGTTACTTGATTGTTGCTCTGATATCAGGAACTTTGATTGAATGCGTAGGGTCAGAAGCCAGGACCGACTTCAAGGCTTTGACCCTGAACCTGAGAGAACATTTCACAGGAGGTTGAGGGAAGCAAGGGATACAAATAATATTCAGGCACTTGTTCAATTTCCTGTGAACATGGCAGAGGAGCAACACATGGCTGTTCAGGAGGTGGCGTTACCCAGCATTGCTAATGTCACCTCCAGCATTGTGAAGCCCAGAATCATTGGGCACTTTGAGCTGAAACAAAGCATGATCCAGCTACTTCATGCGAATGGGCAGTTTATGGGTCTTCCATATGAGGATCCACAACAGCATATCCTGAACATCCTGGAGATTACTGATACTTATATCACTAACGGGGTCACTCTAGACAACGTGAGGCTCACACTTTTCCCGTTCTCTCTGTTGGGCGAAGCAAAGCGATGGCTAAAGGCGGAACCAGCTAATTCTATTACATCATGGAATGATTTGGCAAGGAAATTTCTGGCAAGGTTCTTTCCTTCAGGCAAAACTGCAAAGATCAGAAGTGAGATAGTCGCCTTCAAACAGAAAGCAAGGGAGTCTCTATACTCGGCTTAGGAGAGGTTCAAGGGGCTAATCAGAGACTGTCCTCATCACAATCAGACAAGAGAAGTATTAGCTCACACTTTCATAGAAGGTCTACATCTTGAAACAAAGATTGTGGTAGATGATGCAGCTGGAGGTCAAGTGTTGGAGAAAAACTTTGACGAGATATATGCATTATTGAACAAATTCTCCAAAAGCAATCCGGATTGGCAGGGAGAAATGGGCAGACACACAATTGAAATATCTGCAGGGGTTCTCGAGTTAGATGTCGTCTCGGCATTATCAGCACAGATTTCTACACTGACCAACCAAGTCAATAAGATGACCATGGTTATTAACAAGCAACAAGTCTAGCCAGTGCAACAGGTTCAAATATTTTGTGAAGTCTGTTGAGAAGGTCACATGAGCAATCTATGCCCAGCAAATCCAGAGTCCGTATATTTTGTAGGTAATGCAAATCGAGGCCAGGCAAATCAGTATGGGGACACTTACAATCCCAACTGGAGGAACCACCCAAACTTCTCTTGGGGTGGAAACCAAGGTACTCAGAATCAATACCGGCCTCAAGCACCTCAAAAACAATATAGACCACCTCAGGCTGAACAACAAGCGAGTTCAACAAGTCACCTTGAGGAAATGATGAAAAAATTGATGGCTGATCAGCAAGCCCAAGCCGCAACAATGAGAAATTTGGAGCGCCAAGTGGGACAACTTGCCAGTGCCCAAAATACCAGACCAGTTGGGGCTCTTCCTAGTGATACTGAGCCCAATCCTAAAGCTCAAGTCAATGCGGTTACCTTGAGAAATGGAAGAGCATTAGAAGAAGTTCCAAAGAAAAAGAAGTATACGGCTAGTCCTGAAGGAGAATTAGTTCCCAAGTCAGTTGAGGAGAATGAGAAAGAGAACAAAGGATCCGAGCCAGTAATTGTGACAAGGCCACCACCCCCGTTTCCACAAAGACAGCAAAAGCAAAAAGATGATGCTAAGTACAAGATATTCTTAGATATTTTGAGCCAAGTGCGTGTGAATTTGCCTTTGTTAATAATTTTGCAGGAAGTGCCTAAGTATGCAAGGTATCTCAGAGATATTGTGGCAAATAAACAAAGACATACAGAGTTCGAAATAGTTGCAGTTACTGAAGAGTGCAGTGCTAGAGTTTAGAGTAAACTTCCTCCTAAGTTGAAGGATCCTGAGAGTTTCACAATTCCTTTGTCTCTTGGAAAACAAGAAGTTGGGAGAGCCCTGTGTGATTTAGGGGCTAGTATAAATTTGATGCCGTCCTCTTTTTTCAAGCAACTCGAATTAGGGGTGCTTAGACCTACTACAATCACTTTACAGTTAGCAGATAGGTCGCTAGTTATGCCAGAAAGAATTATTGAGGATGTGTTAGTTCGAGTGGGAAAGTTTATTCTTCCTGTTGATTTTATTGTTCTTGATTACTAGGCACACGAGGAAGCGCCCATTATTTTGGGGCGACCATTCTTAGCTACTGGTAGAGCGATTATTAATATGAGGGCAGGGAAGTTAAATATGAGAGTCGACGATGAGGAAGTCACTTTTAATGTGTACAAGGCACTTAAGCTCCCTAAGCATTATGAGGACTTGTGCATGATTACTGTGGTCGAATTGAAGGGGATAGAGCAGAGTTCTTATGTGAATTGTAGTGATCCAGATGGGACAATTGAGTTAGAGGAGGTGGTGTTGCAAGCTGAGTGTGTAAAGATGATTGAGAAAAGAGCCAGAGATGAAAGAGGAGACCTTCCGAGAGTGTGCAAAAAGGCTAGACTTCATGGGAGAAAGAAGAAGAAGAGAAAGCGCCCAGCCTGAGCAGAGTAGCAGAGTCGTGCCACGATTATAAATAAGGCGCTTGTTGGGAGGCACCAGCTTGTATATCTTTTTTTTTTGTAGTGTCGAGTTTTGTGTTATTTTTATTTTGCAGAGTAGGGGAAGTACCCAAAGTTGAAGCTGAGGAGCATGTTTGAGCTTAAGTGTGGGGTCGTCCCGACTCTAAAGATTGAGGATTATGTCCGAGCTAGGCCCGAGAGGGTCTCAGGGAGTATTTCTCACCCTTGTTTAATATTTTTCTCTGTGATCATGCATCGAGGACTATGCATAATATAAGTATGGGTGGGGAAACTACTTTCCGAAGTGTAATTGTATAAACTTGTTCTTTTTTTTTGTACTATTAAGTTTTTCTTTTAGAACTCGTAGTAGACATAGTCTAGGTTAAAAAAAACTGAAAAAAAAATTAGAAAAAACTCGGACTTTTCCCGACGATGGATCTTTTGGACAATTTTCTTGAGGGATAAAGTCCGATTAAAAACACCAAAAAGATTATTTTTTTTTAGAATAGTTAGGTAGTATTCCTTGGTTTTTCTTTGGGCGCTGGTTCTTTTCCAAGGATGTAGCTCGAACCGGGTACTTTATTTTTTTTAGGAGTAGTTTAGGAAGAAACTGAGTTGCTCCGAGATACTCATTGACATGGTTGATGCTGGCACATTAGGCTATGACATACATTCTATCTTTCCGTGTATTTGGTTTGAGTTGTGACATCTAAGTGAAGTAAATAGCCTATTTTGTGATGCTTTTTCTCAATTGTTTGACTTGTATGCCGCATAGTGCAATATTGCTTAATTTTTCTCAATTATGTGTGCTTGCTTGACTTGAGAGTTGAACAAAATCATTGTGAGTGAGTCAAGTGCAATGTGTGTGAGAGGATTTGTGATCTTCTGTGCTATCCTGTGTAGTTTAAAACTTGCCCCGTGTGTTAATCGAAGCGAAATTGTAAGTTATGCCAGTATTGATCATAGTCAAGGGTAGAGTGTATGGTTAAAAGTTGAATTGCTCCTCTATAGTTGAGACTTGTACGTAGTTGGGGTTTATTTGATAGTCCCATTGCTTGAGGACGAGCAAGTGTGGGGTGTTGATGTTTAGCTTAAAGTATATATATTTGTGTGTATATCGCCTTATATTTTACTTTTGTTTCATGGATTTAGGGATGTGAAATGTGTTGATTTATACTAATTTAAAATGTTTTTATGTGTAGGAATGATCCGGGAGCAATCGGGGGCAAA